TCTCAAGTTCAATAGCAGATGCAGCGGACCATATGTGACAGCAAAATTCTAAGCATGGACGAACGGTAAACTTATGTAATATAGATTCTGGAGGGAAAAATTGAATCACACGGCTTTTTTTAGCAGATGATCTAGCCATAGACTCAATATAGTCTTTCCAATTTATGTCAGCTGAGTTGATAACTTTAGCCCTAGAACGCGCAAAGTTATTATAATAATTTGAAAATTGGACGGGAAATTGATTCATTCTTCAACTTAAAAAGTTCTTAATCGTATTCCCTGAACAAAAATACTGCCAGATTGTGACTTTTTTTACTGTGTTAGCAGAAAAACACACAATTCCCGTTATTACACACCGTTATTATCGAGGTTAATCTTATCGGGTGTACGCTAACATATTGTGAGCATTATCTCTATTGTTCTTATATAAGAAATACAAACCTCCCAGAATACCTCAGCGATTAAGCTACCTAATAATCAACATCGACGTATATTCTTCTGACAACGTAGGTCATATATCTAAATAAACTTTCTTCGACGTTAAAGAGTACCACGTGCCTGTGTTGGCAAGAGAATCACGCTTTGTTGTTATTGATGTCCTGCTGTGAAAGAACGAACTTCGTCTAACTTCTTTCCTCATTCGCATGTCACGACTTGCAAACCTTCGGCTTCTAACATAAACCAGTAATCTGATCTTAGTACAACTACACGCCTCCACGAAGTAAACTAGAATAGCATTTGAATCTTTCGGTATTTCTAGCCAGGAACCATTACCATAATTGGCCGTTTATAACAAGAAGGTGAAAACGTGTTGTTAGATTGGTGATGAAATAACTGGGCCCTCAAAGACTGTAACGACCGAATCCGAATAGGCATCTTAGAATGATTGTATAACGCCAAAATAAGAACATCTTGGCATTGTGCTCTACTAAATAAGCTGAATATTGATACTGTATTTACCCAGAAATATATAAATTCTCATGTACTGGTCGACGCTTTAATTGTGTGAGGCAAGTCCGAAATCAGTCAGTTATGTGCCATGCATGATACACGCTTAGGCGATCATATATCTTTCGATGCATGCCTGACGAGGCAGATTTTTTCCCGCAGTAGGTTGCCATTTCATTCTGTGGTAGACCAGTTGCCATGCAAGAATATAGAAAGCGGTCTGTCCTGCTATTTAGTCATAGCTGGGAGAAGAATAGGGTCCATAGCCTTTCCCAATTGTATTAGCACGTAAGTGAATGTAAAGGATCCGACTGGAATTCGAACACCGCTCTCCGTTTTCTCATTCCGAGCCGCTATCCATTACTCCCCCGTGCCTGAATATAGTGATGAAATCAACAACGTCTGATATGACACGTGTATTATTAGATTATTTACTTGTATAAGTAGAACGTTAGATTTTAATAGAAATAATGTCAGTCTGATGTGAATCGTCTATTGGTTGACATTTTATTTGTGTAGTTCGTTCCTTAGATTATAAGAGACAGAAATCCGAAGAAGCAATGGAATAGCAAATGTTGTTTTCCAAAAGTTTACAAAGTAATAAAAAAAAGAGAAAAAAATCTTTGGAAACAAAGAATGCTGAACTGTTGTGTAAAAAGAGTTGAAGACTCCGATTATCATGGATCTCAGATAATAGATTCCCCAAAAGATTTCAACACCGTAAAGATCTTTCATGGATGCGTGTAACAAACTGCAGAAGAATCGGCGCTCTCCTTAAAAGTCCAAACATTTCGAACATTGACTGAACCAATTTAACTGCATGAATAAGAAACTTGGACATCCCACGCTCGTCTTGAAAGACGACAGGGTGTAACATATAAAAATCAACTTTAGAAAAATTTCAAAACATCAGTTGAAGATCCCATGCAACGCTTAACACAGTTTACGGAGAATTGGGACCCAATCTCTCTTAAGCTCAAGCAAAAGCGATTACAGAGTCCCGGCCACTCTCACCGAGCAGACAGGGAAGTCATCCTTATTCCTATGGTAATGTGTATTACGCTCCGACATTCTTCGTGTGACTGGAATTTCGAACCGAACCCTTTATTTCGTCTAGCCAGCAGATTGTTCTAGTTCCACGTGGCATGCCTCTTCCTGATGTCTCAGTTATTTCCCTTTAACTCAACTCTCTTCATACACGGATGTCCTAGAGGACATATAGCCCAGTGGATAAAGACGTTGGATAGATCCAATGACTAGACCCAAATAATTGTATGTTTAATACCAGATCACAGCCGCGGGGAACTAAATACAATAGTGTTTTTGAAAGTGTCTGTACTTCATTTAATAAATGGTTTTCTTAATGAGTATATAATTTAAGATTTTTTGATCATCTGGAAAAAAAAGAGGCAATTATTTTAAGTATTATCTTGGGGTGTACTTAACTTAAACTTTGCATTACACACACACACACACACACACACACACATATATATATATATATATATATATATATATATATATATATATATATATATATTGAAAAGAAGATAAACCGCAAACGTTTTGGTTGACGTTGCTTTTGTGAAGGGAAATTCTGTGATTTAGTGGTTGGCTGATACCTATATATGACTTCTTGCATTTTGTGCATTTGAGTGCATAAATCACATTTTTGGAGTTTCGGTTTAATTTTTTATTTATTATGAATGTTTTTTTTATTTCCTTCTATAATGATATAACAAATCACACATCTTTTTTGTTGCATTTTGTGACCCCCTGCATTGTGTTTTGCTAAAATTTGGATGATGCTAATATGTGTTTCATGTTTTTAGATTGGCGTTTCATTTTAATTATTTTTTGTAGTTTTTATTATATTATTCAATTTGTCATTTAAATTGCCCGACAATATAAAACATTTTTGTATCACAACACATCTACAAATATAATCAAAGTAAATTTAAAATAATGCCAATATACCAAACAGACAATTATTCTTGCCTACAAATACAAGAAAAAACTTCATAAACAAATTTAAACCAGCACTAAAGTGATTATAGTCCACACACACACAAAAACACACAGCTTACACACGTAATGAGCAAATACAGTAATTGATTCTCTTATGCAGGCAACGATAATGGCCGCGAAATATCAGACGCAAATCGTAAATTCATAATATAGTTCTATGACATCGTACCACACAAAAGAACGGAACATTAACAAAGAGAACGATATGCAATATACATACATACATACATATATATATATATATATATATATATATATATATATATATATATATATATTGAATAACCGCTTATCACCAGTCCAAGAAAGACATCTGAATCACTATCACACAAAAAAAATTTATTTTCATAATATATATAAATATCTACCCTTTGCTTGAAGAAGGTCTTAAGACCAGAAATGCGTGTAGCGGAATTATAGAAATAGAATATAATATATATATTTTTTAAAAAAATCTACATTTCAAAGAAAAACGTCTAAGGTTTATCGTTTTTTTAAAAAATATAAATTTTTCTTTCATTTTAACAACTATAACATCTTCTGTCACTACATATATATATATATATATATATATATATATATATATATATATATATATATATTACAACGATGGCATATGTGTAGAAAACTGGAATTCAGAATAAATACAATGGAGAGGTAAAAGAGGAAGGTTTAAGCAGTGACAGTAAAGTGAAGAAAAGGAAAATAACCGCGCCATTCAACACGCACGTACACATATACTATGGAAAACACTTACACTAATGAAAAGTGCATATAAAAAAGGTAAATTGATAAGTATAAGCAGTCAATTGCTGATAGCTCATAACGAGTGGAGGGAGCAAATCTCGGACTTTCCATCTAGGAATTACTCTTGTCGGAATGCTGAAAGTAACATCAATCAGCTAACTGACAAATCATTTCTTTAGATAAATTCTCTCTCTCTTTCTGCCCCCTATCTCTCTCTCTCTCTCTCTCTCTATATATATATATATATATATATATATATATATATATATATACATGAATTATTCACACAAAACTAATGCAAAGGTTAATGATTTAAATGGCGAGACATCCATCATCGCAAACAATTCAAATAGTATACAAAAACCTCCAGATCCGTTATGAATGAATTGATCCTTGTTTATATAAATTTCTGCCGTATTAGTTGTTATTTTTACTACAAGCTTTCGTCTGTTCCTACAGACATCTTCAGGTATAGAATAGATGTTGTTTTTTTTTTTCTCTTAGTAATAAGAGGACAACGAAAATATATGTGTTGTTGTATCCGAAAATGCTATTGAAAATGAGTTATTGGTTTTGGAACGCGCCAAAGCAACGCTGAGTTTGATTTTAAATTTTAAAAGTGTTTGCGTTTATACCAAATATGGTGATGAACAAATTTTTTACTGGTAAATTTTTCTGTCAAAGTGGCATGAACTATATTGTTCAATAATTACAGTAATGTCGCACTTATTATCTAAAAGTCGAACTTGGATCAGTTATTTAAATTACAATAAACGTGCAATCAATTTACAAATACATGAATTATTCACACAAAACTATTTGAATTGAATATATATATATATATATATATATATATATATATATATATATGTGTATGTGTGTGTGTGTGTGTGTGTGTAAAGAGAGAGAGGGAAAGAAAGAGAGACACCGAGAGAGAAAGCGGGAGAGAGATTTAAACAGAATGAAATAGATAGATATGTGAAAATTGGAATATATTTTAGTAGATCATTTGTTTAATAAACCGAAGTGAATTTTTGACCAGCGCAAATGGTTACAAGCAAAACTGAAAATAGATAGGTGTGCCCATTTTCTTTGTATATAGATTTTCAGTGACTTCGGATAGATAGATAGATAGATAGATAGATAGATTGTGACTGTCCAAATAGATAGATAGATAGATAGATAGAGAGAGAGAGAGAGAGAGAGAGTAGAGAGAGAGAGTAGAGAGAGAGAGAGAGAGTAGAGAGATCATAGGTATCTAGATAGCTGGATTACAGCTATCCAGATAGATAGATAGATAGATAGATAGATAGATTGTGACTGTCCAGATAAATAGATAGATAGATAGAATGAGAGAGAGCGAGAGAGAGAGAGAGATCATAGGTATCTAGATAGCTGGATTATAGCTATCCAGATAGATAGATTATGACTAAGATAGATAGATAGATAGATAGATAGATAGATTGTGACTGTCCAGATAGATAGATAGATAGATAGATAGATAAATAGATAAATTGAGAGAGAGAGAGAGACAGAGACAGAGACAGAGACAGAGAGAGAGATCATAGGTATCTAGATAGCTGGATTATAGCTATCCAGATAGATAGATAGATTGTGACTGTCCAGATAAATAGATAGATAGATAGATAGATAGATAGATAGATAGATAGATAGATAGAGATAGAGAGAGAGAGAGAGTACGAGAGAGAGGTCATAGTGTCTAGTATGCTGGATTATAGTTATCGAGATAGATAGATTATGACTAAGATAGATAGATAGATTATGACTATCCAGCTTGATAATGTTTGATATAAGATAGTGATAGGCGAGAACATATTTAATCCGTTCATTAACCAATTCCATACGGCAATTCTTCCGTAGGAACGTATTCGATATATTTCTTGGTGAACTTCCCTTAATCACAGCCGCTTTCCTGCGTCTCAATGCCCGTCGGCCTGAAGCGACGCCCCACAGCCTCAGTTTAAATCCCATTAGTAGCCAAAAAAAAAAAAAAAAAAATAAAAGAAACGATAGTACTTGGCTGAAATGAATAGTGATCGGCGGTCGGGCAGACAGCTCGAAAAATTACCTCAACGAAAACGTTATATTCGTTTGACTCTGATGAAAACTGACGATAAGCCGGTCATGTCGCTTTTCCCGTAGGGTCTCTCATCAGGTCATAGAAATGTTAGTGTCTTGTTAGTGCATATTGGTCAGTGGCTGAAGGTTGACGTGTGATTTCATGCTCTTTGATCCGACGTGTTCTCCATCTTAATTCATTTCGCTCCCTTCCACTAATACCGTCATTAGTTTTCCCTCTATCTCTCTTTTTCTCTCTTCTTCTCTCTTTTTATCTATTTGTCCTTCTCTCTCTTCCTTGCTCTGTAAACTTATATATGTGTAAGTGGGTGTATGAATATATATGCGTGAATAAAGACAAAAGGAAAACTTATCTTAGTCGACGTATTTCGTCTTCAGAGAGTCTATATCAAGAGAAATGTAAGGGTTTTATTTTGTAATAAGTATTTATATACAAGAAGATAAATGTTATTAAAAAAAAGAGAAAAAAAGAAAGAAGCTGCTACTCACTTTCGTTTATTAGGCATTGAACTGTCTGCCTCATGTCTATGAAGTTGCTTGACTTTTCCGCTAACCTTATGGATATTCATGCTTACTCCTATACCAAAAATGTTTAAAAACCAGTAACATTTTTGCCCTTGTATATAAATACATGTCACAAAATAAAATACTTACATTTGCCTTGATGAATCCTCTCAGAGGATTAAATGCGTCGGCTAAGATAAGTTTTCCTTTTGTCTTTATTCAGATTGTTCCTTTACAGATATACTCTATTCTGACATTTTTACGGCAGCAATCCAACGACTTTTCCGAGTGGAGTTCCTTAGAAGTAAGATGCTTAACAACTTCAGCATTGATTGGAACCTGAATACGTTGCTGAAAAGCGGGATTTGTTTTAGCGATATAATAGATTTTTATTCATATTTTCCCTTTATATATATTCTTTGTCAGACTGGTTTACACACACATAAATAATTATGTATTTTGGTTTGGTTTGTTTTGTTTTACGGCATATCAAACTAAATAGGTTATTTAATGCCAACAAGATTTTTATTGCTGGTAATATATTTTTTTTTTTTTAAATGTATTACCGGTAATTTTTTTTCCTTCAAAAATCTATTTCTGGTAATATTTTTCTTTCACAAATGTATTATATCGCTGGTAATATTCTTTTTAAAAAATCCATAGCTGGTAATATTTTTTTTTCAAAAATGTATTCCTAGTAATAATGTATTGCTAGTAATATTTTTTTCCTTCATAAATTTATTGCTGGTAATAATATTTTACAAAGTATTTCTGGTATTAAATCCTACTTTTACACTTTCATAGTGTTTTGACACCAGTTTGGGGGCTAACTATTTGCTACCACCCCGGGTCCGGATGGACCAGTGACCACCAGCAATTAAGAGGTGGTTCGCCGTTCCTCAAAACATCCTGATCGGAGGACTTGTTAGACGCAATTTATCGTCTTACCAAGGACATAGAATTAGTTTATCGTCTTACCCAGGACGCGGATGTAGTTTATTATCTTACCCAGGACGCGGATGTAGTTGATTGTCTTACCCAGGACGATATGTATTTTACCGTTATTCCTAGGACCGAGGTATTTTGACAGCAATCCATCTTTTATACAAGTTTCATTAAAAACGACTGACAACTTATTGTGGTTAAGATTTTTATTTAAATTTACTTGTGATCATATAGTGTTTTTCCTTTTCTGGACATAAAGTATGCAGAAATTGTCCAAAGTGCATTCATCTATTCTTCAATAATTATTTTTTTTAAATTTATACTTTTACCTGAATGTAAGGATTACTTTTATGTTTGTATCGAGAGGTATAAGATTTTTTTTATTTTCCAAACACATTCAGCACACTGTGGCCGTGTTCATAGTTGATGTCATTGAGTGTTGCTTTTTTTTTCTTGTTTATTAATAATATTTCCATTATTTTTATCTATTATCGTTAAGAGAGATATACAGAAAAATCGAAAAAATCCTCAAACAAAGAATATAAATGGAAAGAAAACAATTGTTTTGTTTTTACTAAATTTTCACACAGAAAAGGCCCAAGAACCACTCAAAAAAGAGACTTACTGAATTATGTTTTTGTTTTCTATCTGTAAGAGGAGAAGTTAAACGCAGATTATAAGAATATGTAGGAAAGATAAATGATTTTGGCTGTTTATCCTAGATTTAAGATATCAAGATTGTAGTAAAGAGAGAAGCATCCTCTTGGGAATCTGATCAATGAGGATGATTCAGTTTTGTGTTTGTGGCATGGCAGGTCCTGGATGTTAAAGTCTGAACTGTACGTATGTTGATTGGGGGATGATTTGTGTGAGATTAAAAGAACATAGGTTGCACCGGTTGTGGTTGTAAGTAGACATATCTTACATTCTCTAAGTATTGACTTTATAAAATTTAATGATGTCCATAAATCAATATACGAACACTACCAGGTAGAAATAAAATAGCCTATTAGATGCAGAAACGCGCACACGCACACTTATTATCATACAAATCCCACATAGACAAACTAGAACTACGATACTCAAAAACACAAGATTTATATACACGTACGCTAATTGACAAGACATGAGCATGAGGCCTACACAAGCAATGAAAAAAAATAGAAAATAAAATTGCACATTTTTCTCCTCCATACTTAATCTCTGATGAAGCTTAAATAAAAGCGAAACATGGTATATTTATAGAATTTTCCTATTTGATCCTTCGTTTTGTCGGGTTTGAGTTTTAATCCATATTTCATCCATATATATATATATATATATATATATATATATATATAACACTGAAGAGTTGTGATACAGCGAAACAGTCTGTCTGTGGATGACAATATATAGGTTCATGAAAAATTTATTTCGGTTGAGCTCTCTGGGGGAGGAAGTGTGGGTTTGTAAACAGTGAGTATTAAGGCTATTATAGCAAGACGCCTCGGTAAAGCATCTCGATTCCTCTCAGTCTCTGTGTGTTTATTTTTTTTTAAAAATACGCTAAAATTCACGTACATCCCTGCTGTGCGCCGAGGGCTTAGTTGTAGAATCCACGACTGGCGCCAGTTCACCTGAGCTTCGATCCTAGCTAGAGACAACCGGACGTCTAGCCACACTGAAGAGCTGTGATACAGCGAAACATTCTGTCTGTGGATGATAATATATATATATATATATATATATATATATATATATATATATAATTACTTCGGCATGAAACTCAGAGTTGTGCGCTCAATGTAAGGTATTTTGAATATTCCGTAATATATATATATATATATATATATATATATATATATATATATATATATATATTTATTTGGATTGATATGAGTTTCTGACCCTGGGTTTCACGCTTTTCGATCCTAAAAGCGTGAAACCAGGGTCACAAAATTACACCAATCCAACCAAATATATTAGCTATATATCTGATATGGAGCACTTTCTTACAAGTACCTCATATAATATATAAATAATAATATATATATATATGCATATATATATATATATATATATATATATATATATATATATACACTTTTCACACACACACTCACACATGTATGTATATATATATATATATATATATATATATATATATATATATATATACACACTTTTCACACACACACACACACACACACACACACACATACATATATATATATTTGTATATATATATATATATAACAAATTTCACTCTCCATATCATTCCGGAGGAGAGTTTATTCGGTGCCTGTCCTAGTGTTAGATTGTAATTCAGATGTTTTTTCTATTTTCCTTAATCTAAATTAATTACATATGAGGTTAGTTGTAATATAATGTCCGATTTTAGAATATTCCCTTTTTATTTGATTTTAATAGTTGCCCTCAAGAATATTACACATACTTAATGATCATCGTCTTTGTTAATTTTATATCAATCTCTTTTAGAATTTAACTCAATATATTATATATCCCTCTTCTTGGACATTAAAAAAAGAGGAGAAACGTTTACTTTTTGTATGGCCATGATGCTTCTCAATGTGCTGCCAACATTAACAAAGCAAAGGGTGAAAGATTCATTTGTGATCGGACAAAATGGCGCTGGTTTTTGGAATTCCGCAGTGGAAATACTAGTATCGGTGTTCAGGATTGTAGAGAGCGCCGACTTGCAATTGACAATCAACAACCGAACAAAACTCACATTAAAGTGTCAGGGAATTTCTCAGATAATGGTTGTCGGATCATCTCAAGAAAATTGGCAAGAGGAAGATTACTTGATAAATAGATTCCACATGAATTCAGTGAAAATCAAAGCGTCCGACATGTTGAAGTATTTTGCATGCTGCATCGGCGAAATTCGAATGATACATTTTTGGATCGAATAATGAATTCCGATAAGAAATGAAGCCTTGATTAAAATCGTTAACGAACAGCTCAAGAAATTGATCATGAAGGATTCAAACTCTTTCCAAAACCAAAATTGCGCCAACATAAAATTATGGTGACTATTCGGTGAACCGATGTTGGGATCCGAAACTTTTCCACACCCTCAATATTTCCGCTGATCTCTCGCCCACTGAATACCACTTTTTAAAAAAAACATTGGCTATTTTTAAGCTACAAGAATTCTGTTGCAAAGAAAATTCATAATCTGCATTCAAATATTTCTTGGTGCTCAAGGCTTTAGAGTTTTATCGTAGGGACAGAAATACACTTTTAACTCGATGGTACAAATGTATATATGTTCAGGTTTTTTATTTTGGCTGATTTAAATACTTTTTAGATACATCATTTCATGCAGAAATTAAAAAATTTTACCGCACATTATTTTCACCTAATCTTTTTTGGTGCTTTTATAGTCACTATCGAAAATATTTCAGTGATTATAATTAAAAAGCCTGCTTCACTCCCGCTCCCTCTCTCTCTCTCTCTCTCTCTCTATATATATATATATATATATATATATGTGTGTGTGTGTGTGTTTTCTTCTTATTATTATTATGAAGCTGGCGATTATTCGTTTGTACGCGTCCTATGGCTGGTCAAACGATTGAACCCAAAGGTGGGGCTGAAAATTAGTCGATATGAGTAATTTGATTCGAGCATAAACATAGGAGAGGTGGTGCTGACTTCTGAGGTCAGTAGCGGTCGCCACGGGTTAATTTAGGGTTAGAACTGCTATTTCCGGCCAAACCACAAAACGGGATATCTTTTTACGCGTCACCGCATAAACTTAAAATGCCCGAACTCTAGGCGTCTATCTAAACTTTTCTATATTTCTATTTTGGTCTTGGCAAAGCTGTTATTATCTGCGTTAACATTGGACCATTGCCCTTAGGAAAAGTGTTAACAGAAAAAATTGATGTTCAAAAAAAAAAAAAAAAAAAGGAATTCCCATATTATAGTTATTTTAATTTGTACCTCATTTAATAAAAATAACGTTTTCACATAAAATTATTTTTAAATAGACTGTAAGTTTATTTTTTAGGTTCTCCCCTGAATTGACGAAATTCATGTTTGATGGTACTATAGGAAAACATTCTATTTTCAAAAGAGTTACATACCTACATGCATGCCATATTAAACACGAACAGAATTTATTTTCTATCCAATAACATACAACATGCCAAAAAGATACCACAATGAAATTGCCCACCGTTTATATCAAAGTGTCTATTTTCTAGAAATTAGCATCACCATGTGAAATATTTTACCAAACAGAGACAATTAAAGCCTTTATTATACTCGAGACTAGTTTTGGTTAAAAATTTTTATGAAACCTCACAGATTTCGACGTTCGCGTGCAGATATGTGACTCTCCAAGGCAATCAAACAGAAGACAAGACATAGCTACATAAGTTTTCTTTCTCCCCAGCGTGTGCTCACAAAAACATTCGTCGGCGTTTTCAAACGAATCATTTCTAACAACAGCATGGACGGTCAGTGAATCCTCGCTGACGATCAAGGTATTTTCAGTTTTCTTTTTCTTTGGAATAACTATTAAAAGTCGTTTCTGCACCATATATTTTTGTGTACCAACTACCCAAAGACTTTAACTAAAAGACTATTTGTATTCCTTTTAAACACTTGAATTCATGTATATATGTTTATAAATATCAGGCATATCCCATGATTTCATTATTTAAAAAAATACTGGATGTTAAAATTTCCAACAGTACCACTATACTTTGACGTAAACGCCCAATCCTGTATATCGCAAACATTTCAACAACGGGTTATTCTTTGCTAAATCGTGCGACCGCGAAACATCCCCGCCCCTCCCATATGGGATGTCAAAAATAATTTTCGAATTTTCGAATGAGGTTCTTCACACTAAAACAAGGACAAAAGTCCGTATAAACATGTGTCCGCAAATTCCTTGTTATCCAGTTATTAAGTTTAATGTATACGATAAACGTCTTACGATGCAAGTTAGGATCCAAAAGTACTTTGAAAACATGGTAAAATATCCATATATACATGTGTTCTACCTCAGCACTGCAACTCATAACAAATGTTCAAAATGTCCTCCTCTTGTTTCTGCACGCGCATGCACCCGTCGGATCATTGACTGGTGGACTTTTTCAAATACGCCCACACGGTGTCGAATGGTTTTCCATGTCCCCATAATACGCGTCATGATAATGAAGCGTCACTGTATTGTAAATGTCTGCTGCATAAACAATTTTTATAGGTGTCCCCACAGATAAAAATCCAATTGATTGTGTTCGGGAAATTGTGTAGTCCATGAACTGGTCCTCACTTGCCTATACATCTTTCATGGTAGACGTCAGTCAGTGCATCGCAAACAATGTGGCTAAAATATGCTGGAGACCCATCATGCATGAACCAAAGGCTTCTTCGGATTAACCGGGGGAAATCCTCTAGCAGGTCTGGAAGTGTGTTCGATATAAAGTCTCTGCTCCTTTAAGACGGGTTGGGAGAACATACGAACCTACTAGACAGTCACCTAAAATTCAAGGACATACATTAATCGTAAACTGATGTTGATGTGTAGCCTGTATTTTATTATGTGGATTCCGATCCGCTTACAACTGTTGGATGTGTAAATTTGTTATCCCATCTTTTCCAAAATTTGCCTCAGCCGTAAACAAGAGTGAAGGGGCCATCAATGTATCGATAGTTTGCAATAAACCATCAGCAAATGTTCTCCCATGGTAAATGATTAGAGGAGGTAAGACCGTGCGTATGTTACAGATGATACGGATACAGGAGCTCCATGTGGTACTATGAGATGTACATGTAACGGCCACTTGACGTGCGCTGATACATGGATTGTCTCCAAATTCAAGTAGTATGTGTTCTTCGTGGTCAGGCGTACGAGTGGATCTCGGTTTTCCTCGATCCATAGTTTGTGGTGACAAGGATCCCGTCTCAGCAACGCGATGCTAAACAGGAGCAAAGTTTGCATGAGACGGCTATCTTCTGTCTGGAAACGCAATCTTATACATCTGCGCAGCCTCTCGTCCATTACCATTCGCGCGGTCGTTTGTAAATCTGCTTGATCAGGATATGAATATCCCGCTATTGTTAGACGAAACACTTCTCAGTTAACTCGCTACGATACACATTAATCTTTGAAGACGTTGAAAACAATCCACAAGTGTATACGAATGACAAATATAACTTAGTGGATGTGGTAACACTTACTTTTTTGTTTATTCATTTTATTTCATTGCTTGTTTGTTTATGTTTATTCTTGTTGTTTTTTCAGTTTTCGATTTTTAAGTAACGTCGTGAAAAATTGTATTCGTGTCTACATTTTTTGTGCCTAAATAATTTTCAGATACAGGGTATACGTAAAGGGATAAATTGAATAAAACTTAACAGGAAAAACTATTCTTTGCCAACACGTTTTGTCCTATAAATGTAGGAATTATTTTGTTGCACGTATTTATATAGAAGCGCAAGGATGACATTTGTTTATCAAGGCTTTTAAATTTGAGAACGTCAGCTAAAAATGGTTCTTAATCTTGTCTTTTTATTTATATATTTACACAGACACAGACACACACACGCGAACACACGTCTGAGATGGAGTGTATCTGTAGAAGAGAAAAAAAGAATAAAAAGACACAAGAGGAAAAATTTTACTTAACTGACGCGTTTCGTCCTCTACGGAAGATTATCTAGGCAATTAATTTTTTCCTATGAGGACGAAACACAACGGCTATATATATATATATATATATATATATATATATATATATATATGTGTGTGTGTGTGTGTGTGTGTGTGTGTGTATGTGTGTGTGTGTCTGTGTCTGTGTGTATGTATGTATGAGTGTTTGTGTGCTTTAGTGCTTTTATCTAATTTATTGTCAAATATTTATATATATACAGTGCTGTTCGATAGAAGTGACTCATATGATTTTTTTACTAAAAATATATATTGTTTTTGCGGTTAAAATAATTTTTAATCGTTCTAATATAAATACCCCTTCCCGACCACCTAGGGAAAAAAGTTTATTCACCCTAAGGTATTCTATTGATAATTATAAATTTGGATATAAATGAGATTCAGGAAAAAACTCTGTGTAAAAAAAAGTGACTGAGATATCACATTCTAATGATTAAACTCGTCAATTTAGAGAACTTTTGACAAAATATTGAAAACTATTTTACAATACACTCAGAACAATATTCTAGAGAATTATAGAACAGCTTAAATTAAATCTATAGTATTCCAGACTATTCCAGAAAGCCTCATGCACTTAAGGCATCTATTATTGTCCTCTCAAAAGCAGGAAAGTCTACGAGAGAAATTGCTATAACCTCGCAATCAACTGTCTCTCGAGTGCTTAGGTCACATAATGATGCCACTCCTTCTCCAAGGAAGGAAACAAGGTGAAAGAAAATGATTGATGATAGAACTGGCAGAGTAATCAAGAGAGAAGTTGCGAAGTATAGGACTATAACTAACCAAGAAATTGCAACCAGTCTAAGCGAAGGGCAAGGTGTTAGTCTTGTCTCTTCAACAGTCCGTTAGTGGCAATTAGAACAAAGCTGCAAATCTTGTACACGAAGGTTTAAGCCGCTAATAAGCAAAGTGTCATATGCCCCAGTCGACGAATGGGTTTATAAGGCAATCATACGCCGACTAGGAGATATATACATTCTCACACCTGTGGAGAGATACAAGCTATCTCTCTCTGGTCGTGACAATGGACAATTGGTAAACAAAAATATATTTAAGACCACTGTTCGATTGGGATAATCGAACAGTAATCTTTCCCAGGTCCGCTTCGTTTTCAACACGAATACTGATCCACAATACAAGGATGAACTATAAGGCTTAGGGATTTTGATTCAAGAATTTTAATAGGTACAAATATACAAATATCAAAACAAAAGAACAAATAAGTATGAGTTAAAACATCCGACGACCAGATCTCAAAATTTACGCTGGGATATCAAAATTCGCCTAACACAAAATGGATTCAACTGAACCCGAACATACAAAAATATAAGTATGAATTACTATGAATTGAATGCAGAAGCCAACGCATACACAAAAGAGATGGGATAGGAGTTACAATTATTGTTTTGACATGTGGAAAGTTGTTTGCAAGAACATAATATTGATAGATGTATGTATATCTTTCTACTACGGGTCCAAAATATGATTACTTATCTTTAATATTCAGTTCTCTTTTTTTATCATTGTCCTTTCTTTTCTTTTCTCGACACAGACACAATTTCACACACTGTCCGGCTGTAACAGAGGTATACACTTTCTTCCTCTCTTTGTTTTGTCTTTTTCTTTCCTTCCTTTTTCTTCTGTAGACAGTTCGGTTTTCAAACCCGGCTCACTGCAACAGGGATGTACACTTTTTTCCTCTCTTTGGTTTTCTTCTTTCTTTCCTTCTTCTTCTTTACACAATTCAGCTTATAACAGAGGTATAACCTTTCTTCTCTGGTTTTCCCTTTTCTTTCTTTACACAACTCAACTTGTAACAGAGGTATATACTTTCTTCCTCTCTGGATATCCGTTTTCTTTTCTTTACACAATTCAACTTGTAACAGAGATATATGCTTTCTTCTCTCGTTTTCCTTTTTCTTTAAACGCAGGCTGAATCCTCAGCATATCAATTTCTCTGCGTCTTCAATTTGGGGTTCTCGAACAGGAATACTTCTTGTTATATTTCTTGTTCGGAGTTGCCTGGGTTGAACTGGATAAGTTCCATCACGATCAAATGCGTCTTATCTTTCCGTTCATAAACTATCAGCGCTTCGGCTTCAGGTCTTGCCTCTTCAAAGTCAAGATAGCAACTGATTCTCAAACGAATCTCTGACTATCACGTGACTTAAGTTTTGACGTGAATTCCAGCTTACATCAGTCCCCTGTCTAGCTTCTGTCTTGACATTTGTCTCTACGGGTAATTGGGTGAGTCAGCCTTTTGACCTGCCTTCCCAAAATGTCATAGGACTCCCACGTGATCTTTATTCTGTTGCTAGGCGGAAATTAACCCTAATATATGCGTATATGCGTATTTAGGCTATCTGCTTTTCGTCACAAAAGTCAACAAAGCCAAAGGACTTGAATGCGCTCACTATTACACAAATTTCACCATATAAGACTGGAAGAATGTTCTCTTCTCCGATGAAACGAAAGTTGAGCTAAATTCAAAGGATAAGCGATCTAAAATCCGAAGAAGAAACTTTGAAAGCTCTTTGAATTTAGCAGTAAGTACTGTCAAGAATCCATTCAGTATAATGTTCTGGGGATGCTTTTCTTTTCATGGAACTGGTTTCTTAAAACCTATTGAAAATGCCCTCAGGAGCGAGCAGTACAAGATAATTTTAGAGTTTTGTCTGCTCCCTTCTGGTGAAAGGGTGAAAATCGTCCACATCAATGCTCCCTGGCACAAATCAAATTTGATAAAGGAATACTTTGATGAGAAGCAGGTGAGTGTTGTGACATGGCTGCCCCAATCTCCTGACCTCAACCTCATAGAAAAATTATGGAGCATTATAAAGTACAGGCTCTCGAGAAAGCAGTTGAGCAACAAAGAGGATTTGATTTCATATCCGAATAGAATTCAACGCTTGGAGATGAGATTTGCGAGAACCTAATCAAGTGAATGCCAAAAAGGGTTGAAAAGGTTATTCTCAAATAAAGGAGGACCCATAGATTATTAAATATTTTGAACTATATTACCTATTATAAATAAATTATACCGCTATTATTCTTTATTTAAAGCTGTTCGGTTATGTTTCTGTTGATTACTAGTTGTTGGAATAAACTAATATCTTCAGTTATCAATTATAGGCATTTAAGAATATTTGTGGAGATTTCATAGTTTATTTTGTTCAGGTTAGGTTTTAACTGTTTTATGTATATAGCGTCAAGAATTTTTAGTTTTTGTTTATTGTTTTCATATTTAAGTATAACTGTGTTTTCAACAAGTTTTTTCCGGAATTGTGTACTCGACCAGGCATGTTGTTTTAAATGCCTAAAAATGTTAGAGTTATCATTCAAATGTAGAGCCAAGCGTCGTGAAAGCGAGTTTGTGGTGTGACCAACATAATCCATTGGAGATACAATCTCCTAAAGGGCACTTGAATTTGTAAACTATGTTGTTTCTTTACGAATAATTAAGTTGGATATACTAGATGTAGTGTAGTAAATGATTAATCTAATATTTTTTCTAGGATCTCTTGAGGATATATTAGTATTTACTAATTTTTTTAGTATATTTTCACCTTGTTTATAATTAGTATGCATTTGACTACGATATATATATTTGTTTCGATCTCTCTCTCTCTCTTTCTCTCTCTCTCTTTAGCTATCTATCTATATATTTATCTATCTATCTTAGTCTGTTCCCTTCTATCTATCTATCTATCTATCTATCTATCTATCTACTTGGCTCAGGCGCCATGTCTTTTGGTAAGGTATATCGTAATATGTATTCACTGGGCCCCTATCTCACTGCACTCCCATCTAGAAATTTCTAATTAAATATCTCAGAATGTGTTGCCATGTTGCAAACTCAACCTAGAAACCTTTTCAGCTAATATATGCTCGTAACCTGCCCATCTTTCTATTCTTTTTGCTTTTCATTCTGCTTTTCTTAATTTTGTTTCTTTTCCTTTTCAAGTATTAAGCATGGGAAACCGTTGGTATGGACCAATAGATTCTGTTATCAATTATAGGCATTTAAGAATATTTGTGAAGATTTCATAGTTTATTTTGTTCAGGTTAGGTTTTAACTGTTTTATGTATATAGCTTCAAGAATTTTTAGTTTTTGTTTATTGTTTTCATGTTTAAGTATAATTTATATATATATATATTAAGTATTTCGATAAAGATTTTCCGGAATTATGAAATTCGGTCAGGCATGTTGTTTTAAATGCCTAAAAATGTTAGAGTTATCATTTAAATGTAGAGTCAAGACAACATGAAAGGAATTTACTTAAAATAAATAGACAAAATTTGTCTATAATATTTAATGAAAGATGCCTCAATGAAAAAATAATGCACATATATATATATATATATATATGTCTGTGTATTTATCTGTGTGTGTGTCTTTTGATGTTTTTTGCGATCATATTGAACTTCAGAAACTCCGTTAATCTTCATGTTTCAGATGCCCAAGTAGAGCCTTTTCTACTGCACTTGCTTAGTCTTCATGACTAACTTTTACATTTTTTTCACTATACTGAATAATTATCAAAAATACAATCGAAAATTATTCTGAATCCTATTATCTTTAGAAACAGCTTTTTTCTTTTATTTCGCTGTTATTCTTCGTGTTTTGGATAAGCGACTCCTGGTGAATGAAAAGTGATTTTTTTTTTCAGCCAGTCAACAAATGATTCCGAAGAAAATTATACACGTGATAGTTATTCGACAGATTTGTTCTTATCTCCTTCAACATATAGGACAAAAATAGCATGTAGTATGTTTATCTTTATTACGCATTTATTAATGAAAGCAACAAGAGTTATTCACCAGGAGATCGTGAAGTAGGATTTGCGTACAAACTGCGAGTCGCGATATCTGTAAACTTATAAACAGACATTTTCTCAGTCACACACATTATCAAAAATAATCAATTTTGGAAAGGAACTCGTGAACACTTTACTGCCTCTCAGTGGCGTCAAATAAAAAATATATTTTTTTAATAAATAATTCCATTAAAAAATAGACTTATAATATTTTGTATGTTTTGTACTGTTTGTTTAAAATTAGTTTAATTTTTAATAATGTTTATATTAGATAAAATGTCTGATTTAAAATATAAATTATATTAATACAAAGGTTTTTTTTATGCAAATACAACGGTATGTAATTAGAATTATATGCAAATATTTTGAAATTACTTTTTTTTTTTACTAATTTTTTACCACAACTTTTATTTGACGGGTCCATTCAGAGCATGGGTGAATCTAACTCTTCAAAACATCCTACCCTATGTAGCTGTTAGCAATGTTTATCTTTTAGCTATCTCTCGTAAAGTCTGTTCTTCTATCAATTTGCTAAAGAAAATCAGGTACGCTATTCGCTGCTTCATATGTCCCTCTTAACTTCTCTATGTTTTTTTGTTACATTTTTTTTTACAGTAAGGGTCACCCAATACAAGGAACGTGGGAGGGGGACATTCGTGGTAGAGGGTTACGTTAGGAGGCCATTTGTGTGTATAGGTAAGGGAGATAACGATTAACCCTAGCGATGAAAAGTTTAAGAATGTAGTGATCTGGGAAACATTATGCTGCGATTCAGTACTGTCTTTTATAAAGGTAGAGGACATCAACCTTACTCTGGTATAGGGTATATGGTATGGCCAGTAAAATTCTTGTTCTTCTTCTATGAGTCGTGGCTCTTCACAATGCGAACGATCATGGCTCTTCACAACCTGCTATTCATTGTAGCAACGTTTGTCCCTTTGCAAAACGACCACTGTTTCTTAATACTTTGTTTAGATTTTGAAAAGCATCTTTTTTTATGGCAAGCTTATTCTGCTATAGGGTATATGGTATGGCCAGTAAAATTCTTGTTCTTCTTCTATGAGTCGTGGCTCTTCACAATGCGAACGATCATGGCTCTTCACAACCTGCTATTCATTGTAGCAACGTTTGTCCCTTTGCAAAACGACCACTGTTTCTTAATACTTTGTTTAGATTTTGAAAAGCATCTTTTTTATGGCAAGCTTATTCTGCTATAGGGTATATGGTATGGCCAGTAAAATTCTTGTTCTTCTTCTATGAGTCGTGGCTCATCAGAATGCGAACGATCATGGCTCTTCACAACCTGCTATTCATTGTAGCAACGTTTGTCCCTTTGAAAAACGACCACTGTTTCTTAATGCTTTGTTTAGATTTTGAAAAGAATCTTTTTTTTGTCAAGCTTATTCTGGTATAAGGTATATGGTATGGCCAGTAAAATTCTTGTTCTTCTTCTATGAGTCGTGGCTCTTCAGAATGCGAATGATCATGGCTCTTCACAACCTGCTATTCATTGTAGCAACGTTTGTCTCTTTGCAAAACGACCACTGTTTCTTAATACTTTGTTTAGATTTTGAAAAGCATCTTTTTTATGGCAAGCTTATTCTGCTATAGGGTATATGGTATGGCCAGTAAAATTCTTGTTCTTCTTCTTTGAGTCGTGGCTCTTCAGAATGCGAATGATCATGGCTCTTCACAACCTGCTATTCATTGTAGCAACGTTTGTCTCTTTGCAAAACGACCACTGTTTCTTAATACTTTGTTTAGATTTTGAAAAGCATCTTTTTTATGCCAAGCTTATTCTGCTATAGGGTATATGGTATGGCTGGTAAAATTCTTGTTCTTCTTCTATGAGTCGTGGCTCTTCAGAATGCGAATGATCATGGCTCTTCACAACCTGCTATTCATTGTAGCAACGTTTGTCTCTTTGCAAAACGACCACTGTTTCTTAATACTTTGTTTAGATTTTGAAAAGCATCTTTTTTTATGGCAAGCTTATTCTGCTATAGGGTATATGGTATGGCCAGTAAAATTCTTGTTCTTCTTCTTTGAGTCGTGGCTCTTCAGAATGCGAATGATCATGGCTCTTCACAACCTGCTATTCATTGTAGCAACGTTTGTCTCTTTGCAAAACGACCACTGTTTCTTAATACTTTGTTTAGATTTTGAAAAGCATCTTTTTTTATGGCAAGCTTATTCTGCTATAGGGTATATGGTATGGCTGGTAAAATTCTTGTTCTTCTTCTATGAGTCGTGGCTCTTCAGAATGCGAATGATCATGGCTCTTCACAACCTGCTATTCATTGTAGCAACGTTTGTCTCTTTTGCAAAACGACCACTGTTTCTTAATACTTTGTTTAGATTTTGAAAAGCATCTTTTTTATGCCAAGCTTATTCTGCTATAGGGTATATGGTATGGCTGGTAAAATTCTTGTTCTTCTTCTATGAGTCGTGGCTCTTCAGAATGCGAATGATCATGGCTCTTCACAACCTGCTATTCATTGTAGCAACGTTTGTCTCTTTGCAAAACGACCACTGTTTCTTAATACTTTGTTTAGATTTTGAAAAGCATCTTTTTTGGCGGCGCTTATTCTGCTATAGGGTATATGGTATGGCTGGTAAAATTCTTGTTCTTCTTCTATGAGTCGTGGCTCTTCAGAATGCGAATGATCATGGCTCTTCACAACCTGCTATTCATTGTAGCAACGTTTGTCTCTTTGCAAAACGACCACTGTTTCTTAATACTTTGTTTAGATTTTGAAAAGCATCTTTTTTATGCCAAGGGTTTATTCTGCTATAGGGTATATGGTATGGCTCTTTTCACATGACCTTGACCTTCTATTCATTGGAAAAAATTCTTGTTCTTCTTCTATGAGTCGTGGCTCTTCAGAATGCGAATGATCATGGCTCTTCACAACCTTCTATTCATTGTAGCAACGTTTGTCTCTTTGCAAAACGACCACTGTTTCTTAATACTTTGTTTAGATTTTGAAAAGCATCTTTTTTATGCCAAGCTTATTCTGCTATAGGGTATATGGTATGGCTGGTAAAATTCTTGTTCTTCTTCTATGAGTCGTGGCTCTTCAGAATGCGAATGATCATGGCTCTTCACAACCTTCTATTCATTGTAGCAACGTTTGTCTCTCTTTGCAAAACGACCACTGTTTTTAATACTTTGTTTAGATTTTGAAAAGCATCTTTTTTATGCCAAGCTTATTCTGCTATAGGGTATATGGTATGGCTGGTAAAATTTTCTTGTTCTTCTTCTATGAGTCGTGGCTCTTCAGAATGCGAATGATCATGGCTCTTCACAACCTTCTATTCATTGTAGCAACGTTTGTCTCTTTGCAAAACGACCACTGTTTCTTAATACTTTGTTTAGATTTTGAAAAGCATCTTTTTTTATGCCAAGCTTATTCTGCTATAGGGTATATGGTATGGCTGGTAAAATTTTGTTCTTCTTCTATGAGTCGTGGCTCTTCAGAATGCGAATGATCATGGCTCTTCACAACCTTCTATTCATTGTAGCAACGTTTGTCTCTTTGCAAAACGACCACTGTTTCTTAATACTTTGTTTAGATTTTGAAAAGCATCTTTTTTATGCCAAGTTTATTCTGCTATAGGGTATATGGTATGGCTGGTAAAATGGTTTGTTGTTCTTCTTCTATGAGTCGTGGCTCTTCAGAATGCGAATGATCATGGCTCTTCACAACCTTCTATTCATTGTAGCAACGTTTGTCTCTTTGCAAAACGACCACTGTTTCTTAATACTTTGTTTAGATTTTGAAAAGCATCTTTTTTATGCCAAGCTTATTCTGCTATAGGGTATATGGTATGGCTGGTAAAATTCTTGTTCTTCTTCTATGAGTCGTGGCTCTTCAGAATGCGAATGATCATGGCTCTTCACAACCTGCTATTCATTGTAGCAACGTTTGTCTCTTTTGCAAAACGACCACTGTTTCTTAATACTTTGTTTAGATTTTGAAAAGAATCTTTTTTATGCCGT